TCTGTCTCTCTGTGTATCTGTACCTGTGTCTGTGTCTCTATGTTTGTCAGTACATGTATCTGTGTCTCTTTGTGTCAGTACTTGTGTCTGTGTCTCTGTGTCTCTGTACCTGTGTCTGTCTCTCTCTATGTGTCAGTACCTGTATCTGTGTGTCTGTACATGTGTCTGTGTCTCTCTGTGTGTCAGTACCTGTATCTGTGTATCTGTACATGTGTCTGTGTCTCTCTGTGTGTCTGTACCTATGTCTGTCTCTCCCTTTGTGTCTGTACCTGTTTTTCTGTCTCTCTGTGTGTCAGTACTTGTATCTGTTTCTCTCTGTGTCTCTGTACCTGTGTCTGTCTCTCTGTGTGTGTCTGTAGCTGTGTCTGTCTCTCTCTGTATATCTGGACCTGTTTCTGTGTCTCTCTTTGTGTCTGTACCAGTATCTGTGTCTCTCTATGTGTCAGTACCTGTATCTGTGTGTCTGTACATGTGTCTGTGTCTCTCTGTGTGTCTGTACCTATGTCTGTCTCTCCCTTTGTGTCTGTACCTGTTTTTCTGTCTCTCTGTGTGTCTGTACATGTATCTGTGTCTCTCTGTGTGTCAGTACTTGTGTCTGTTTCTCTCTGTGTCTCTCTACCTGTGTCTGTCTCTCTCTGTGTGTCTGTAGCTATGTCTGTCTCTCTCTGTATGTCTGGACCTGTTTATGTGTCTCTCTTTGTGTCTGTACCTGTGTCTGTGTCTCTCTATGTGTCAGTACCTGTATCTGTGTGTCTGTACATGTGTCTGTGTCTCTCTGTGTGTCAGTACCTGTATCTGTGTATCTGTACATGTGTCTGTGTCTCTCTGTGTGTCTGTACCTATGTCTGTCTCTCCCTTTGTGTCTGTACCTGTTTTTGTGTCTCTCTGTGTGTCTGTACCTGTTTTTGTGTCTCTGTGTGTCTGGCCCTTTGCATGTGTCTCTCTGTGTGTCTTTCCTATGTTTGTGTCTCTCTGTGTATCTGTACATGTGTGTGTGCCTCTCTGTGTGACAGTAGATATATTTGTGTCACTCTGTGTATCTGTACCTGTGTGTGTGTTTCTCCCTTTTTGTCTGTACCTGTTTTTGTGTCTCTCTGTGTGTCTGGACCTGTGTATGTGTCTCTCCGAGTGTCTGTGTCTATGTTTGTGTCTCTTTGTGTATCTGTACCTGTGTGTGTGTGTGGCCCTTTGTGTCTGTACCTGTTTGTGCGTCTCTCTGTGTGTCTGTCCCTGTTTTTTTGTCTCTCTGTGGGTCTGGACCTGTGTGTGTGTCTCACTGTGTGTGAGTGACTGTGCGTGTCTCTCTCTGCCTGTGTATGTCTCTCTCTGTCTGTGTCTCTCTGTACGTCTGTACCTGTGTGTGTCTCTCTGCCTGTGTTTGTCTCTGCGGTGCTGTCTGTGGTGTCTGCCCGTGTGTATCTCTCTATCTCTCAGCCCGTCTGTGTCTCTCTCTCTCTGTCTGTCTGTGCGCCTCCGGTGACTGATCGACACTCTCAGGTCCTGCCGATGAGCCGGGCCGGGCTGTGCCGCTATCAGCAGTGAGTGCCCCAGGATACTGTGATCCCTCCGGGCTCAGGAACCGGGGACGAGAGACCGTCACAGAGGCTCCATTCCCACAGTCGTTGACAAGCTGCAAGTCAAGTCCACTGAGACCCTGTTAACCTGCCCTCAAGGAGAAGAAGGAATTTTACTAAGACAATTGTGGGATGTTACACAGAACAGCAAAGTGCTACAACACTTTAATATTCCTTTATTGGAACACACGTTAACATACAGTGAATATTTATACACCTCAACTACACAACAGCCGTCAGGAGAGATCTTGCAATGTATGTTTGATCTTTTGACAATATTCTTGAGTGTTGGTCAAAGGTTTCTTTGATAACAAGGAAGGGAGAGCAATACAAGTTAATCATTATTTCATTGGAACTGGTACTTTTCGAACTTGCAACACTTTTACGAGCTGTTTAATGACTTACTGGAAACATGGTGCGGTCTTATATATCACCTGTTGTGTCAGTGTTTCACAGCTCCTCTTGATTTATTGTGTATCAGCAATAGGAGAAGCTGCTCTGTGGAGCTGTCTGGTTTATGCCAAACATGTCACCTTGGGGCCAGTTCAGCTCCAAGCGGAACCCGCTAACCTCCCACCCTTAGTGGGCAAAGGCACATTCAAAGACAAATGGCTTGTGACAGTCGAGATGGAGGTAGGAAAGTAAAGGGATTCAAGATAAGGATATAGGAGCCGGGAGCAAGTTGACATTCTCCATGTCCACCACCCGGTCCACCGTACCATCGACCATTGAGGTTTGATCTTCTCTAAACCCAACATCTGTAACTCTATCCCACAGTCACTTCACATCACTACTTTCCTCACCTCCTGCAAGACCAGTCTCAAGACCCTCCTCTTTGACCAAACATGCCTTTGGCCAACTTCTTATCCCTACCATCACAGCCTTCCATCCCTCCTGATCCCACCTCCAGCTCGTATCCAAATCCCTGACTGTCCAGTGCCTTGGAACGTCCTCCTGACATGAAATGCCCAGGTCAATGTAATTTGCTGTTTCAGAGCAGGGATGGTATGACAGTTTGACGGGGGTCTGAAGCGGGAAACGAAAGGGGTTCAGTTGATTTCGATACCCTCTCACTCATTTTGAAATCAGTTCATGCCATTGCACCTCCCAACCACACCTGCCCGCTGAGACCCCACTGCACCACTCAATGACTATGGCCAGATGGCTCCAACCTCCTGTTTGTCTCTTGTACTATCCGATCACCATCAGTGGTTTTGCTTTCATCCACTAAGACACCCAATTCCGAACGTATCTTCCCCAATGGCTTTAACTTGCTCCCTCTTTCCCCACCTTTAAATCCCGACCAGAAATTCCATGTTTGATTATGTTTATGGTCACAAACCCACTCCCTGTCCTCCAGGCTAAGAGTCAGACTCCACCACTGTCAAGAGCTCTGGTTTACTACCCCGCATAAAGGGCGCTGTGTAAAGGCAACTTTTTCTTGTTGACTTGCTCCATACGATCACGATTGAATCGGAAACCAAGAGACATCAGAACAACACTTGATAGATTTACACAAAATGATTTTTATATACAAATAGTAAAAATAATTATCTATAATCTTCCCATGTAAACGATAAGAGTCAATCTCTTTCTCTCTCTCTTGATCTGTAGACCTGCACCCACACAGCACCCATATCGTTTTTTGGCGAGAGCCTTGGCTTAGGGGAACCTTGAGTATGATTTGGGGTAACATATGGGAATATAGCAAAGTATCCAGTTCAAATCATAGGTGCTACCTGTGTGAAGGTAGTTGTACAAATGTAATCGGTTTTTGAATTATAATTTACGTCTGAGAAGCTTTCCGCTGCGTGTCCAACCAAGACCAACCTATCAGCTCGTGACGGCTTTGCCTCCAGGGATAACAGTTGCTGAATGGGAGAAATCACTGCCTCCATATACTTTTCAGCCCTCCCGGGTCCTGTCGATGAGACAGCCTGGGCTGTGTTGACATCAGCAGTGCCCTGGGACACTGTGGACCAACCTGGCGCAGGAACCGTACTGGAGACGATAACAGAGGTCTGGCTCGATTCCTGAATTCCATCACCGAGCTCCAGATCAGGTACAGATCAGGGAATGGCTGGAGTGATGGGTGTGTGAAACCAGATTGGTGTGAGTAGTGGGTAGAGCGATCTGAATCATTTCAATGTGATGCTGGAGCTCAGGAGAATGGCACAAAGGGCATTGGAAAATCAAAGTGGATGTGACAATAGATATATTTGTCTTATTGGTGTAGACATGGAATCTGGGCCATCGGATCTGATCACAAGAGTGATCAAACTGTAACGCTACTGATTTTATACGGCATCGTTTAGCTGGTGGCAATATTCTTGAATGTTGGTCAAAGATTTCTCTGTTAACCAGGTAATGAGAGCAAAACAAATAAAAAATTATTAGATCTGGTCCTTTTCAGTCTTGCAGCACATTTACAAGCTGTTTAATGACTTAGAGGAAACAATGTGTGGTCTGGTATATCACTGCTGTGTCAATGTTTCTCAGCTCGTCGTGATTTATTGTGTATCAGCAGTAGGAGAACCTTTTCTGTGGAGCTGTCTGGTTTATGCCAAACATGTCACCTTGGGGACAGTTCAGCTCCAAGTAGAACCCGCTAACCTGCCACCCTCAGTGGGCAAAGGCACATTAAAAGACAAGTTGACTGTGACAGTATAGAGGAAGGGAGGAAAGTGAAGGGATTAAAGACAAGAATACAGGAGCTGGGAGCAAATTGGATGAAAGTTCTCCATTACCTGTGGGGAGAGAATGAGGATGTAGAGTTAAACAAGAAAGGAAGGGGATGAGGGTTGTAGGAACCCAGATAGAGAGGTACAGAGTGTGGTTGGGGGAGTGTGGGGCGGGGGCGGTGGTGGATAGTCTGTGTGTGGGGGGTGGGGGATGAAGGGAAAAGAGACCATTGAAGGTTAGAACTGAGATTGTAAAGCACAAGTCATCATTTTATTAAAAAATCAGTGTGAATCCTAGTGTGTTGCGGAAGGAAGGAGGTGGCGTGTGTCGCTTGGGGGAAGGGGAGATTGTGTGGTGGGAGAGGGAGATTGTGTGAGGGGAGACTTTATGGTGGGAGTGAATAGATTGATTGTGGGGGAGGGAGATTGTATCAGGCGAAATTGTGTGGTGAGGGAAGAGATTGTGTGTGGAGGGTGGAGATTGTAACTGGTGGGTGGGCGGTAATGAAAGGTTAGTGAACTTGTGGCAGATGTGGGAATGAGGAGATCTTCTAAAAGTTTTAATTAATCAGAAGATATCAATGAGGAGAGTAAATGCCCAGGAGGCCCCTCCCCGATAGGGAATATCCAAATGTTCAGGAGACGGATCGGGATTATTGGTCTCAGGGTCTATTCCTGGTTCGATATTTACTGGTAATCTTAAACTCTCCCACTGACTCCTCACCTGATTGGACCTGTTGTTTGGTGAACTTTGGTCCATTTCCACATCAAACATTTCCTTAGTCCAAATCTCGGTGGTTGCTCACAATCCTGAATCCCCACGTGAAGCCGTGTGAATCAGAGTGAAGTGAACTCTGTCACAGGGCGGGACACACACAGCATAAATACCCGGAGCCTGAAGGAGTTTGGAACAGATAGACTCCGGGTGACCAGGACTTCTAGACATCAGGTTCAGGCACTGATCGAGAAGCTCAACTGCGTCGTTTGTCTGGAATTCTCTAAGGTTCCTGTTTGCCTCGATTGCGGCCACAAATATTGTCGGTCCTGTATCACCGGGAGACGGGAATAGCAGGGAAAATCCTCCCGTCCGGAATATCGCCAAGTTACTGCAAAGAGGAACCTCAAGGTCAATTGGGCTCCCCCCGACGGCGGCAAAAACGGTGACCCTCTGAGGATCTGTCGTGTGACGGATTGATGAGGAGGGATCCCTCAGCCGTGACCTGTGTATCAAAATGGCTTCCAGACTCCAGGCTGAGAGCTGGACCGAGGAGCTAAACTGTGCCATTTGTCTGGAGTTCTTCACTGATCCTGTTAGTCTGGACTGCGGCCACAACTTCTGTCGCTCCTGTGTCGCCGGGAGCTGGGAAAAGCAGGAGAAAAACTCCTGTCCGGTATGTCGCAAAGTTACTGTGGAGAGGAACCTCCAGGTCAATGGGGCTCTGGCCAAAATGGTGGAGAAAGCTCGTGAATTCAGTCTGGACCCGACACAGACGGCAGTTAAACGTCAGTATGAGAAACACCGGGAGGACCAGAAGCTGTTCTGTGAAGATGACAAGAAATTGATCTGTTCCATTTGCAGAGATGCGATAGAGCACAGAGGTCACAGCTTTCTGCCCATTGACGAAGCGGCTGAAATCTACAAGGTACCGAGACCCTCACGAGGGATTCATTCCGTTTCCACGTCAGATTTTCTCCTCAAACACTGTTATTCTGTGCGTTTATTCCAGGATCAAGTGAAGTCCTCCATAGCTTCTCTCACACAGAGGAAGGAAACTGCTCTACAAACTGAAGCTAAACAGAGAGAAAAGATTTCACAAGTTAAGGTAAGTTGTGTCGGGGCTGATGTCTGTCAGTGTGTCTCTGGTTACTGTGTGTACACGAAGTGATGTCTCAGTGTCTTTGGTTACTGTGTGTACACGGTGGGATGTCTACGGTCTCTGGTTAATGTGTGTACACGGTGGGATGTCTCGGTGTCTCTGGTTACTGTGTGTACACGGTGGGATGTCTCAGGTCTCTGGTTACTGTGTGTACACGGTGTGATGTCTCAGGTCTCTGGTTACTGTGTGTACACGGTGGGATGTCTCAGGTCTCTGGTTACTGTGTGTACACGGTGGGATGTCTCAGTGTCTCTGGTTACTGTGTGTACACGGTGGGACGTCTCAAGTCTCTGGTTACTGTGTGTAATGGTTGGATGTCTGATATTTTCAGGAACAGGTGAAGAGTGTGCAGACTCACGTCACGGCTAAGTTTGCTAAACTGCACCAGAGTCTGACTGACAGAGAGCAGCGAGTGATGGGGGATCTCAGACAGCGAGAGGAGGAGATTCTAAAGCGAATGAAGACAAATCTGCGAGAGGTTCAGGGAAAGTTAGAGTCGGTGGAGCAAGAACTCTCCGAGTTACAGACACAGATTGGGAAAGACGCTCTCACCTTCCTGCAGGTAAAGAGATGATATTATAATGCAGTTCAGTCACAGTTACACACAGTCGGGATCCGACAAACTAATTGTGATTGACAAAGAGATCAGAGATTGAATTGGGATGTGGGAGACGCTGTACACATGTAATCTGTTGTTGTTGTTGGTGTCTCAGTGTGAGCTGACATCTGTCTGTGTTTGATTTCATTAGGAGGAATCTGCTGCCAACAGAAGTTATGGAATGACCTTTACCAAATATCCCAGAATTGAAGACACAAACCACCCACAAGGTGCAGTTTCACACTATAATGTGATGGCGTCTTGTTTCAGGGTCAGTGACGAGGGGTTTGATCTGTCAGTGTGTGAGGCTGAGCTGCCGGTGGCCAAGTACCAGTGGCCTTTGAAGAACACCGTCTGGAGAGAGATTATAGACAGCGTCAGTCCAGGTACACGTCTCCCATTCTCACCCTGAAGCCGTGTCAATAGCCTTCCATTGACAACACATTCCCCCACACATTCCCTCACAAACACTCCGTCGCACACACACACACCTCACACACAGACACACACACACACCCCTCACACACACGCCACTCAAACACAGCCCTCACACACACACACTGGATCCAAATGGGAGACGCTGTGACTAGATTTCTAATAGATCTTCTGCTGGCGGAGGGTCATGAGGCTGG